CGGATCCAGGAAACGGAACTATTGGGGGCAGACCCATAGAGCATGCAAAGGCAGTGTTCTTAAAGAAAAAAACACCATACAATATACCCGAATAGCCAAAAATTATACTCCGTAATAAAGTACAAAGAATTTCCTAATTAAATAAAGTATATTACAATACCAAAAACCCCAAAAATTGAAATACAATTGGTTTTTTTCGAGTTTTCATCTTTTGAAAGAGATCTATTATACTTTCGTTTGTGATGATTTCAAATAGATCTCTTTATACAAAGTAAATAAGACAGTCGCTATGAAATTGATCACCGATTCTATTAAGTAAATTAGTCTTCACTATTTTCATAACACAAAAGTGTCTCTCAACAGTTGAGGCAACCGGTGGTGTGGGCTATGGAGTTTACATCAAATATGATTAGTTTATTGGTTTACCGTTTACCGTTTAGCCTTGACTGGAAAATCAGAATCTCTGCAAAAGATTGGGAATCAGTTGACAAAACACACAATGTAGATGGCCTTGAGCTTGAGTTTAAAAAGATGGAAGAAACAACAAAGGCCATCCGCGAAAATACAATTCATCTTATATGATCAAGGATCTGAAAATTCAAATAGTTAGTAAAATGACAAATAAGAGGGTGGCTTGCTTCATCTTCATGTCTGTGGGAGTCTGCATTCTAGTTTCAGGTCTCCAAGTATGGCACTTGAAGACATTTTTCAGAAACAAGAAGCTTATTTAGTTACCTAGCTAGAGCTTTACTTTTTAGATCATATCAATCCAGCCCACTTTTGTTTAATTAATGTCTTTCTTCAAATTCACACCTATACGATGGAACGCACAAGTTATCTACCTTCTTAGCTCTACCTACCTAGCTTCAAGTATACAATACATGCAATTATTATACTACATATTATATTAAAAGCCACTCCAAGTCTCCAAATAATTAATTTTAACGTTCTTGTTTTTGGAAAGATATGATAACCATTTTACTAAAAAAAAAAGTAAATCTTCCTAGAAGGCTAGAAATAGCAGATGGGATTACACCAGACATGTCTAAAACTAGTTCATGGGTAGCTCAACTTACCAAATTAAACAAATAAGGCTCGTAACGTATCTTTTGAAATTGAAATTATTATACGACTAACATAACAAAGATATCAATTTTAAACTCAAAGTTAGAAGCTGAAGTAATTGGTTTATAAGTGTATGAATATGTCCCATACTTCCTGATCACTAGATACTATTGCTCTGTTTTGTTGAGGACAAAAACAGAGAATAACTAAATGAAGTACAGAGTAGGAAAAATTAAATCATGTTTTCTCCTATTAAAGTAACTCTTCCTTTAAATAACAAGCATATTTTTCATTTGTGTCCAAGAAACTTAAAAGATTAAACCTACAAAACTTACAACAAGATTGGTAAACCTACCTCTCGATTTGAAACAAATTGGTAAAATCAACCATCATAGTCCCAAATAATAGAACATTCATTCAAAAACATAAACTAGCTACTTCTTAATGCTAAGTTGCAGGCACACAATAAGCAGCAAATATTATCAAAAAAGTACGTGAATACCTCTAAGGAACGCTATTGTGTGTTTGTGCCATAAATCACCAAAGCTCTTTGTATCCCTGCCCCATAATCTGGCCATAATCAACAAAATAGACTTAAGTCATATCTATGACAAGAAGAAAGAACACACCACTTTAACTTCAAGACATATTGAGAAAATTATAGCAATCTAGGATTTGAGATAATTGACAGGTAAATTACTCCTATAAGCATCAAATTGAATAGTCCAAGCCGACGCATCACATCACAGCTTACTGGCAAATTCATTCAACTGTGACATAGGCTAGCCAACTCCTACCAGCAAATCCACATCGTTGCTCAAACTGTTCTCGGGAAGAAATAGAGAAGAAATGAAGGATAGAGTTCCTGATTGATTCATTTAGGCGGTTCTCCCTTCAACGATTGATTCTTTAGTAATTTACCTCCAGCTAACCAAAATCCATTCCTAGTAATTTTAACGTGTCAGATCTAAATTTTACTCTTAAACAAACAATAAAAGTCAAAATTAAAATTAATCTGAAATCTAAATTACGGATTCATATATGTTCTCAGTGTTGAATTTGAATTTTACTTGTATCTCTAAGTCTAAGGTTCTATGCCGTTGTCCACCATTGTTCGGTTGTATCCCTCCGCCCCTTTCCACATGCTGACTTCCTACAACAATACATGTCAGCAAAATGAATAAACAGAAGAAAATGAGAAATATAAATACACACATCTGAGTTACCTCGATGGGTTTCGCTGGTTGTATCCATAAAAAACGTCTCAGAAATAGGGGAAAATCAAAGTTGTAATCATTAAAAGAAGATAAGAGAAACTTGGAATAATCCCAGCCTGAAATAGGAATTCTCAAAAGTAAGGAACGCGGTGGATGAAGCCAGGATGCCAAACAACAACCGATTCGCCGATCGATTGGTCGCTGGAGAAGGGGCCCAACGAGAAGATCTCATGTTATTTGTTGCTTTGAGAGGATCCCGTGTCGTCGGTTTCTTAGTAGGAGAAGGGGCCCGACGAGAATCATTCTGGAAGATGATTCGACCAGACAAAGAAACTCTCTCTAGCAGGAGAATCGCTCGTGAAGACTCTCGATCTGGTTAGGGTTCTAGGAATGATGAGAGAAAGAGTTATGTTAAGGTTAATTTAGAAGATAGAAAATAAATTGGAGGTGTTAAAATATGACAAAATAATGTTAAAAAGAAATAAAATGTGGTCTGAGTGTCATTATCAGGTATTGATACTATTGTGTGAGAAATTAATGACACATATACATCGTAAAAAAGATATGTCAAATAATAATGACACTATATTAAAAAGTGTCACTAACAAAGTGTCACTATAAGCCTGTTTTTTTACTAGTGCCTCATCTAAACTTACGGCTAAGAGGCTTCGGGGAGATGGTGACTTCTTGTGGATTAAGGGACTTCCCTTTCGATGGATATAAGTGAACGTGGGAAAGGGTAAAGGGTACAAATTATCGGGTGGATCAGGATAAGCTTGATAGAGTGCTTGTTAATGATTATTGGTGGAACAAGTATATGGTGGCACATGCATCTTCGGTGGAAGCCCTAGTGAGTGACCACATGGCTTTGTGGGTAAAAGTTATTCCTACAGCGATTACCCGGAAAGCAAAAATTTTTAAATTTGAAATTAACTAGCTGAAAGAAGATGAATGTCGTATGGTGGTCTCTAATAGCTGGAGTGCGAGTTCTCATCTCACGGTTAGTGAGAGAATTTTGTTCTACGGGAAAGAACTCCTTAGGTTAGACGACCCAATATCTTTTGGGACTAAGACTTGGATGATATTGTTGATAGACATTTAGGATACTTTTAACCCACACCCCCAGTCCGCCCAACCCCCCATCCCCCACCTCAACATTATAGCTCTTATTACTCGTTGCAATCGCCATAACACCCCCTCTCCCCTATGAAAAGTCCAAAAAAATAAATAAATTGAATTTTGATCATTGGGACTAACTGGGACCCCGGACCGCCAGTCCAGTACCCATTTTTCAAAATCAAGGCTGTGCCCGCCAGATACTAAATCCGATACCTAATCCTGCACCGGAATCGAATTACCGGTCCGAGTCCAAGCCGACACAGTGTCGGTCCTGGTTCCGGTCCGAGACCGCTTGTAGATCCACCCCTATACACATTACAGAAGTCTTAATTCTTACTACCTTCGCCCACCTAAGTTTGGGACAAAGAGATGTGATGTGGTTTTTATTAAAAATAAAAAAAGTAGAATTGGGTGGTTGGTATTGAATTGATAAAATATGAATAAAGTAAGAATGAATTCTAACCACTCAAATATTACCAAATATGATATGAGACAAATTTAATGAGACAAACGAAAAAGGTACACAAGACAAAGTTAGGAGGACGAAGGGAGTATTCACGTCCCAATCAACGAATTAGCTACAAATCCTTTTATAAGGATGACACCCCATCCCTGAGTAGGGATGTCAAAAAAAACCGATCCGCAATGACCCGCCCTGGCCCGAGACATTTGGGGCGGGTCCGCCCCGCCCCGTCTTGCAGATGGGGCGGGTCCGCCCCGCCCCGCCTATACAATGGGGCGAGTCCGGGTATTAGAATTGACCCGTGCCACCCCGACCCGCCCCGACCCGACCCGCTCAATATATAAGTATACATACTTTTTCTTAAATTATACTACAAATATACTTCAACATACATATGTGTGTATACAATAAATCATAAATTCTTTGATCTTATAATATATGAATATATATTAGAATGATATGCACGACAGATTATCAATGTCTTCTTTATATATAGAATTTTAATACATATATTCAATTATTAATATAACTAATTAGATTAACTATTCAAGTTGGAGTAATATTTCCTTAATTTTTGAAATTTTTAGCGTATCATGAATTTGATTTAATATATTGATTTTTAATTATTATTTAGAGATAAACATTATGCAGATTCAATTGGTAACAACTTCTCACAAATAAAAATACATACTAGCTAATTAGGTTGTGGCGGGGCGGACCCGCCCCGCCCCGCATGGGGCGGGTCATGAGTCAACAAGTTTGGACCCGTGCAGATCACGGGGCGGGGCGGGTCCGCCCCGCCAAGCCACGGGGCGGGTCTGGGTCTTGCAATACCCACCCCACCCCGACCCATTGCCATGCCTATCCCTGAGGGCCCCCCAACACCGATCGGACGGCACGATGGGAGGATGTAAATTGGACTATAATCACAATCTGACAGATAGAGAGTGGAACTCTATCCCCGGTACTTACAGAGGCCATATGCATTTTTCAGCATAGTAACCCCTCATCGTAGTTGCCGGGATTCGAACCTGAGACCTAACCCTTGTAACACTCCCTTGCTACTAGTTGAGCTACACCCACCAGTAGCTACAAATCCTTTTATAGACTCTATTCAATTGCCGACCATTAACAAATACATTTTGTATAACATATTACCGGATTACCCCAACAATATACTTAGTACTCCGTATTAAAGAATATTTTTATCAAACACTTCAAACAAACTTCTATTATTACTTTTCTTATGATATACTACGTATAAACTAAATAACTTCTTGAAAGCACAAGCAAATGAAAACAATTCCTACAAAAAAATCAGTTATAAAGATACATAACACAGAGAAGAATCCACATATCAAGTTGCCCTTCTTGAAAACAAAGCCAATACATAGCATAGAGCAGAATCAACGGATGCCAATGCAATGATAAACAGACCGACTAGGGCAAGGGCCAGGCTAGCAGTCTTCAGCTGCAGTGGTAAAAGAAACCAACATCAGTTCTACTCCAAACATAACTACTTGTTCTACTTCAAACATAATTACTCCTACATCTATAAGAAATCCAGGTTAAAGGTGATTGATGAAATGTGAAATGAAAATAAGCTCAAACATAAATTTGTTTATGAGCTATGCTTAACAGCAAGAATCTAATGATATCTGTTTACCTAAGAATGGTATTCATTTAAATACTCTGTCTAATCTTTCTACACTCTCATTGACCACTTAATATTTCAAAAAACAAGAAGTGTTTGGGAATAGAGTTCAGCTGTGATCCATTACGTGGCTAGAAAGGATGTTTATGTCAAATGATACATTGTTATATGTATGTCATTCTTTCATAACTTAATCAAAAGGGATAAAGAGAAATTTCATAATAACTGTAACTCACAGGGCATGTACTCATGTTCCATGATTTGGAAATATGATTGGTGATGAGAACGCTAAACAGACCATACACATACAAGAGTGAAAATGATAAAATGAAATAACATTGGTAAATAAGAGTAAAGTTACAACTAACTGTTGTCTGGATGCTTGGCCATTCTATGTGCTTCAGCTGACTTGGCTGTTCAGCAAGAAATGATAGAACAGTTTTCATTGCCCTGTTATTGAACAACTAAATCATTAGAAAAATTCAATATTCATAACTTCATGATAAGACCCTTGCAGAAAATTAAAGGATTCCTTAGTTTCTTTGACTTTGAAAGGGCAGGATCAGCTATTTGCCTATTATCAGACATTATGTTTATAAAACTACTCCATCTGTCCCTCAAATAAGCTTCCCTATGATTACGTGTGCTTCTTAAGAACAGTGAGATTATGTAGTTAAAAGTTAGCAGAGGAGTGCGAGAGAAATTTAGCCACACAATTCCTTCCAGAAAAGGAAAGAAAAATATTATTTTGGTACAAATGAAAAAGAAAATGGTAACCTTTTGAGGAACGGAGGAAATATTTGTCAAGCATATGTGACAATGGTCTGAATTACTACACTTCTCCAGAGCACAAATGGATCTATTTTATTTAGTACTCTGTAGTAAGTCATACACCCTATCTTTTCCCTTCAAATCTGCCATATCTTTACAAACAAGGAGTTTGATATATATTCCCTAAACGTTTGCTCTCATTATTCCGTTCGACCATCCAAATAAAGGGAAACATTCGAGATGTTATCACAGCTTAGCGAATCCAATGTAATAGGTCGGTCTATAGTAATAAAGTTAGCCAAGCTTATCCACTTTCCATAAACCAAAATAACAAGCAATTAAGAATTTTGATGATGAGCTTGAGCATATTATTATCAGTAACATGTATAATGTATGCTATGGCAGCCAAAGGATTCAAGCATATTCCATTCAGTTATTATCATTTTCCCATGTATTTAGTCCAACCAAACTAGGGCTACAATTAGAGATGTGCATTGCAATTGAAGTACCTGAACCAATTCATTAAGTATCCAAAACATTGCTGTTCATCACTATTATCAACACTCAAGCGCAGACAACTTTTTGGGGCATATGAGCTGCATTTGACATCATGACTTGCTCGTAAAGTATTCTCAATCTTTAAGGTAGTTATCTAATACCAAAAGTGAAAACCACCAATAAAGCTGATCCTTCACACAGGCATAATTCATGATAACATGTACAATGTAAAAGAGTGCAAGACATATATTTTACATTTTTAGGCATCACCAGAACAGAAGGATGCTCTCTGGGTTTGAACCTATTAGAGCAATGAAACAGAACCAAACAATCTTTGCCAGCTTTGAACTGAAAAGGGCCTAAAATGCAGATAAGTAAAACCAATTTACCCAATTTCAGAACAACTAGTCAGTTTTCAACAACAAATTTATAGCACATATAGGGAGGGGGCATAAATCGAACCTGAAATGCTGAAGTTGCAGCTAGCAATAGACGCCGCCATCTATATAATCTACGGCCGAACACGATAAAAACAAAATCAACTTTTATGGTGGAATATAATGCTCATAAACTGTGAACGGGATTATTAGTTGTTAACAGAGAAGTCGAACAAAGCAGAGTAGAGGTAAGCGCGTCGGGATTATGGTAGAGAACTAACTAAGGAAGTATTATGCATATCTGGAATCCTGCGGATTAGGCCCGTGGGTCGCCCCGTTAGGGTCGAAATTAACAAGTTTTGCCTCTTTCCATTTTTTAAAAATGGATCCAAATCCGTATCCGAGACCTATGAGATCTAGGTTAAGCTTTCAAATCTGGATCCGTTTAAAGATTTTGAACTCGGGCCTAAAAGTTAAAAAAATAAATAGCCTCAAATCCCTCAATCTAAGATAGAATGAGACATAGAACGGAAATGATCCAATGAATCATTTCGGATCGCTAACTCCGTAATAATGTAGAGTCTAACACTACTCTAAGTCTCTTGTTCCTCTTTTGCTACTCCAATGAGAAAATAAAAAATCCGATTTCATCAGAGACCGGAAAGGGAGAATTGATTTGATCAGCAACCAACAAAGGAAACTCAATTAAGCAAAAATTATCTAGATCATCAGCAGGCCCGGCCCGGACAAATAAAGGGCCCTGTGCAAAATAAAATAGGAAGGCCTAGAATATAATCTTGTGGCCTAGCGTGATATGATATTTTCATTTGTAAATAATACTTTGTGGGTTTTTTTAACAATTTTTTCTGTAAAACTCTTTTTTGAGATTGAATTAGTTCTTATTCGTATGTTTTTTCATATTTGGATTCATATTATCTAGTTCCAGAAGGAATTATAATTTATAAAATGTAAATAAAAGAATCCAAATATACGGAGTAAGAATTATCAATTACTTGATGTAATCAATTAAGGAAAAATGTTTGATCAAAAACACCTGAACTTTTCCATTCTGGCTGAGTGACTAATGCTCTGCGATTACAAGTCTGCTGCCTCTAGGTAAGTATGGCCTTCACTTTTTATAATACTCCCTCCGTCTCATAATAAACTTCTCAGTTTGACTTCACACAGATTAAGAAAATAAATTTGACTTTACTGTGGAGTGCACTGTTTAAACACGGTTCGACACTGTTTTGGACACTGTTTGACACCGTTTGACACTGTTTGACACTGTTTGGCACTTTTTGATGTAGATTATTTGCCAAATAAGGAAAGTTTTGAAGTGTGAAGTTAATTTTCGGGACTGCCCGAAAAGGAAAGTGAAAAGTTAATTTTGGGACGGAGTGAGTAATATAATACGTAGTAATAATTTACTTGTATATCACAAGCATGACCCAAGCTCTCTTCCTCGTGCTTGACTGCTTATTGAGAGGATCGACAGTCGAGTGCCGCATTTCAAGGCAATGGAAGTCGAATTCAGAGATTGACAGCAAATAAAATCAGAATAAGGAAGTCGTAGGCCAGAAGAAGAAATTGGATAATGGAAGGAATTGACGAATTTCAAGTGAATGGAAGTCGAATTCAGAGATTGACAGCAAATAAAATCAGAATAAGGAAGTCGTAGGCCAGAAGAAGAAATTGGATAATGGAAGGAATTGACGATGTTTATCCATTGGATTACTGTAATATACTACGTATTAACATCTCCTCCAGTCTCAATCGTTCCGTAATCTCCTCAAAAATCATCGTTGTGCCGCTTCGATTCTCCAAGTCTCCTCGAAAATTCCTCCCGTAATTTGCATTTACACGGATGCGGCGTACATGCTCGAAGCTGCTGCTCGGATATTTTCCTAAACGATTGGGCCTAGTGTACAGTACTACTAAGCTAAAAAAATATGGAGGCCCTCGTAATAGTGGAGGCCCTGTGCGCTTGCTCCAATTGCACCTGGGTTGGGCCGGGCCTGATCATCAGTTTGACCAGCCATCGAAAAGGCAAACCAGTTGGGAGCTTCTTCTTTTTCGAGTGAGGCGGTGGTTAAGGAGGAGAGCGAATAATTGAAGCGTCAAAAGAACTAGGTTAAGCCTGTCTTGTTAACCATGAGTGATGAAGCACTCGATCGATTACTCCGACGAGGAAGACACAACATCTTGAGAGTGCTAGGAGAAGAACAAAACATACGTTCACATGAAGCAGACGTAACTCTCGGCCAAAGAAGATCCGGACCAAAACCAGAACCCTAAAAGATAGAAATAAAAAAGAGAGACAACATAGCAAAACAGTTGATCCATTACAGTCCAGAAAACATCGTAATCATCGTAGTTTTTTCATTTTTTGCATTTTAAGCCTGTACAATTTTTTTAACAGGGAACCATGTTTAGAATGAAAAAAATAGCCCGTTTAAAAAGAAAAAACGCCTCCTCCCCGTACTTTACAAAAAAGGAACAAAACATGCATTTCCCATATCTTACAAAAAAATAAAAACATGAATTGATCAATTGATAAATGAGCAAAGGAGATCAATAATAATAATTGAAATTCAAAAGGGAGATTCTCCTTTTTTGGAAGAAAAGAGAAATCCTCCATTGACCATGTAGTTTTGTATTGTTACAATAATACAAAATGTATAATTATTGAGTATTAAAATTAAATGCATAATTAAGGGCAGTCTATTAGTAGTGGGATAATCCACTAATGGTGGCGGCAGATAAACAACATCCAAGCCTTAGTCCCAAACGATATTGGGGTCGGCGGTGGCGGCAGATGGCGTTTGGAATATTTGTGATGGCGGCGGAGCTCTAGCGATCGAAAGCAATTGCCAATTGGTGGTGGCAGCAACAATCTCACATGGTTTGTAGTAGTGGCAGAGTTGTGATGACTATTCACCATCGGCGGCAACATAGTGACATTGACCACCCTAAAGCCCCTAAACCTCTAAAGGGTATTCTTGTGCAATCACAAAAAAAGAACACTAATACGAAATCTTAAACATTTATCTTATTTTTGTCTATTTAACGGATTGGCACCCGTGTAGTCGCGTGGGGATCCTTTGACTCCAATATTTGATACTCCGTATGATATTCAATTATTCAGAGCCCGTTTGGTAGCACCAAAATCGGCTGTTTTGGCTGATTCTGCTGAAATTTATGATATTCTGGCTGGAGTGGCTGTTTTGGCTGATTCTGCTGATTTAAGAAAAAATATTTTAAAAATATATTTTATTAATAAATTAAAGAAAAAATTATATGTAAAAATAGCTAAAATGGTCCTCTACAGTAACTTCAGCCAATACAGCCAGAAAAGTAACTCCAACCTTACTTTTTCGGCTTATTACACAATTCAGCGCGCGAAAGTAAAAGTTACGTGTTTGGTGAAAAAGCTGGCTGATAAGCCTGATAAGCCGAAAACAGAGTTCTCCAAACGGGCTCTTAAGCAGTTCAACATACCACATATTATAAAGTAACACTGATGGAGTATATGACCCAGGAACCCCCGGCCCATAGACTCCTACTTCTCCTACACGAGTCCATTGAGCCCAGGGGACATCTCAGGCCCAAATACAACGGCCCAAGCTTCAAAGTAGCCCAGAATACGCACTGGGGTGCCTTCGGCCTCCTTGGTCGAAGGCTCCGAAACTCACAGGATAGCCTTTTCTGGCATAAGAAGCTGCTGGGAGAAAACGGGCGAAGACATGAGCCTTCGGCATTCCCATGCCCTCGGCACCAGGGGAAGCCTTCGGCTGAACCAAGCCCTCGGCCACACAAGGGCCCTCGGCTACGCAATGAGCCCTCGGCTACACAGGGAGCGCTCGGCTACACCGGGAGCCTTCGGCTGAACAAGCTCAATCATCGAAGATTCCTTTTAGAGACAGCCAACCACCGCATTTAATGCCACGTCGCATCCGCCAACCGCATTGAGTGCGGTTGACGTACCACTGCCAGCACCACTAGGCTGATGTGACCCTTCGGCCGTTGGATTACTGACACGTGTCCCCTCATCGCATTTATTGCTGCTATAAATAGCAGCCTATTTCCCCTTGTAATCAACACAACCTACATCTCAACTCCACACGCTGAGTTCATTTAATAAAATCGACTCTCTCTCCTCCTATTTGCTCTGACTTCTCTCTAGTTATTTCCGCGATAACCCCCCGGATAAGATACCCCCCGGGTAGACTATCCATCATTTGGTGCTCTCGTTGAGAGCTGAACTCAAGACCTCCCGCTTACCAAACGGGTGCTCTAACCAAACACAAACCCTCCCCCTCTACCAAACATTTGGTAGGTCGAGGGCCATGGTGCTCTCGTTGAGAGGTTGAACACTATCAAGTAAGAAACCCTCCCCCTCTACCAAACACAAACCCTTACCAAAAATGGGAAGAACCACCCGTGCCCAATCCAAGACCCTTGAGGAAAACTACGTAGCCCCCGGCGAAACTAACGGGGCTGAGGCCTCCAACAGGCCCTTAGTACCCGAGGGTGGTGTCATCCTCGAATTAGAGCAAGCCACCGCTGATCTACGTCAGCAGCTGCAGAAGAACACCCCCGATGCCCGCATTGGCCTTGATAATCGAAGGAGGGATCGGAGTGAGAACCAAGTTCCTCCTCCGGCCTCGGCCATCGATCTTCAGGCTGCCTTTGCGGCCTTTGTTCAAAACATGGCTCTCAATTCCGGAGCCCTCGCCTCTCAGGCACCCCTCCAGCCCTACGCTGGAGGAAATGTTATTCAATTGCCACCACTCCCCCCTCTGTTCAACAATCCTCCCCCGGGGGTTGGGAACGCCGAAGGGGTCATGGCACAAGACACCGCCTCCCAAGAGGCCCAATCCAGGGATAAACGTCCCTTGATGAAGGAGAAACCCCGGACCTCTGCACTTGAGAGGCTTGGGGGAGCTCCCATACGCCGAGGGGTCCAAGACCGCCTCGGCAGACAGGAATTCAGCAGGCCACAGGAGAGCGGAGCCTCCGCTTCGGGGGCCGAGGGCATACCTCCGCCCCGAGGCAAGGGCAATGCCATCCTCCATGCCGATGACGCCAGACACCAGATCAATCAGGCGCAGTCCTTCCGGGCCAACTCCCAGGGGGTTGCCCCGAAGGATCCCAAGGACGAAATCATTGAAGCCCTCCTCCGACAGCTCGAGGAGAATCGTCAGGCACCCCCGACGGCTTCCACAGCAAGGCCAGATCCAGAGTACGCTGACCTCCGGGCACAGGTGGAGGAAATGAAACGTAAACTTGCCGAGGGCTCAGGCGAGCCCCTCATTCAACTCCGTACTAGAACACCCTTCACCCCAAGGGTGTTGGCGGCCAAAATCCCCCACAAATATCGGGGGCAACCCATCAAGCCGTATGAGGGGAAGACGGATCCCCAAGAGCATTA